GCCGCAGAAAAATGTTACGGTTTCACCACGAGCGAGGGGTGTTCCTTCACGCGATCTTTGTGTACGCTCCTCAAGACAAACTGGTCGACGAGAGGTGACAACATCTGGCCATTAGTTTGAAATACCGCCATTGCTGACCGTATCTTACCCTCACCGTCTGCCTAGCGATGTCATTTTTATATCTTTATACCCCATTAAATCTGCAGAATCTTTGCGCCTCGTTTCAACATTCCCGCCCAGCCTGGAATCCCGCGGGAGCGAGGAAATTGTTCCGTAACCTTTGACATTTCTACGTTTGTCGAGTGCCTTGTCATCGCGATAATTCACTGCTCTCCTCCTCTCGTTACTTCCCCGAGATCAACAAATCTACGAGAATCAAGTTTGACTTCATTTCCACTCACTTATTCATCGAGAGAACGTGCATATCTGACGGTTGAGTAGAATAGGAACGATTATTATCAGACACGGCGTCTTATTGAATAATCGCGATTTTTTCCTACAGTAAATTCTTCAAAACCTCAAGAAACATCAAAGGCGATCGATGTATCTCTCTGTATTCTTTACTCGTGAATTTAGGCAACTGTAGGAACTCTTAACTGCGCAACGAGACTATTTTATAGAATATTTGCGAGTTTCTCGATGGATCTGCTTTCTCGATTAAACCGTGTCAGTTTGTTATATCTCGTCAAAATGTTCGCTTCGGATTCGATGAAAGTAAACACCTGCCTTTCGATTGATCTTCATCGACTAATATTGGAATCTGTATAAAAGATCGAGCTCGATGCCGGTCTATCGCAGTACTCTTCCAGTCGATCAGTTTACATCCCTCGCGATAAATGCTCACCGCGATCGAAGTTTCGTAGATAGTACGCTTCGAAGACAGCGGAGGGAGAAGGGTTCACGTAGGCCGATACGTGCTTAAAGTTCATTGCCGCGAAAGTTACGGCCGACAGTTTCGGTATTATACAGCCGAGTAATATATTCCCGGTGGCCATAAATTTCCAATTAAGCGGCAAATGAATATGAACCGCTTCGTACGTTTTTATCGTTGCCGCTTAAAGCCGCGTTCTAAGGCCGAGATTCTGTTTTGACGCTCCTTATTAACCCTTTTTGCCTCCGATCTGCTTGCCCTGGCATTACCAAACGTTCTTTTGCACCGGTGGTTTCGCGCGGCGAATCGCGTATATATATGTGTGTGTATATTTTAATCAACGTTGATCGCCACGATGCTCGAGAGAACTTGCGAGTTCGTGTTCGCGAACATCACTCCCTCGACCATTCTTCGAAGGAAGACTTACGTGTGATATTATGATTAACGTTCTTTTTGTAACCAAATAATTTCGGAAATAAAATAGATCAACTCGAACGAACAGAATAAAATGGCGGCCAATTTCTAATTATTCACAGAAATTTTGTAGATTTACAATCGTGCATCTTTAGAGATTTAAGTCAAGTTCTGTGAAGCATATAAATTATATTTATATTTGAACAATCATTTCAACAAATTTATGTATATCGTGTTGTACACGTTTCATGTTCCATAATAAAATATACATTTTTTGCCTCTCTTAATTTAACTGATACAAGTTTTACACCATAGTCGTCGATAGTTCTAATGTTGATACCCCCTAGATGAATCTGTACAATCGAAATGCGACGTACACAATTAAAGAGCGCACAGCAAAAGGCTAAATTCAAATTACATTCCGAGCAACTCAACTGGCAAAACGAAGTTAATTAACGAGGAGAGAAAAAAGAAACCTGTTTGATTTACGAAGCGCACCATCTAACGATATGCAATTAGCGCGGAACAACGGCCCCATAGAATTAGAAGCACTCCGTTGATTGCGTTTAAAGAATTAATCACCGGCAATCAAAGCGCCTTCGTAAATCTTCGAGGACGGTGTGTTTTCCCATAGAGGAGCTATCGATTATTAGGGTACTGAATTGGACGCATTTGCTCTAAGGTAAATCGTGGAACGGTGTGCAAAGTACGTGCGCGCTCGTCGTCCGTTGCCATTCAATTAAACTCGCCGTTTATTTGACGATTCCCGTCTTTTCCTCCTTCACCGATCGATCGATCGATCAATCGATATTTGCTCATTATCACCGGCGAAAGTTCCAACGCGGAACTTTCGTTAACGAAACATTTTCCTCTGCTTCTACTATCGTTTGTATTTTTTCATTTCCACAGAGAGAGAGAGAGAGAGAGAGAGAGAGAAGGGAACGAACAAAAAATATTCCTTATTTTCCACGTGCTGGCTAAAAAACCGAGCCAGCGTTGCGTGAGTTTGTTAATCAATGTACAAGCGAGAGTAGCCGAGTTCGAGAAATGTGTTTCCTCCTCGTCTGCTCCTCGGTGAAAAAATGACGAATAGTTGGTTGGTAATCACCGAACCGTGGCGGTGGATAAGCGTGGCAAGGGGAAGCAGGAGGGAGCGGCGAGAAGTTTTTCACGAGCCAGGAATCACGAGTTCTTGAAAACGGCCAAGGAGAGCTTTCCAGCACGGGCGCATAATGTGCCTGAGATTCGGCGAGCCGTGAAATGCTAAGAAGTAATTATCCTGTTACCACCAGCTGTTACATCCTCCTCCTTCGAGACGAAGAAATTCGTTTCCGCCGCGACCTCTGCTTCTCCTTAGCCTCTCCCTACCATTTTGCTGCTGCTTCCATTCCCCACCGATCCCCTCTCCCCTCCTGCCAAATAGTTCTTCGGAAACAATTATCATCGTGTGTATCAAGAACCCGTAAATCACTTTCACGGTTTTTAAATTCGCCCGACTAATTCGTTGAAAACTGATTTTTGAATCGGTCGGATAATTTTGGGCGTTCGAGTTTTCTCATTATTGAAACGAATGTTTCTAACTCTTCCGCGAGCGCGGACAAACTGCAGTTTCGCCCGGAAGTTTGGAGCATTATTTCCTTTTTTAAACGTGATAAATTTTTCCCCGAGAGATACGAATGTTGCAGTCGTAAGGTTTATCCCTGTAATACGATTAATTACAGTTTCGATAGTTCGAATTATTAATATTGTCAATAGAACGGTGATTCTAATCTGTGACGATTATTAATCTAATTAGTTATACGCTAGAAAAGGAAATACGATATAATTTCGATTTCCTAGTACCAGGTAGCAATCAAATTACTCGAATCTTTCAAGTCGATAGTTTATCCGTGAGAAACTAACACGCGCGATTGAAAAGCAGAGAACCGAATCCAATCTCTTCTTTTTTTCACGTCGTTACCACTAACTACCATTTTGTTTGATAAATATTATTTTTATGTAAAATCTTCTCGTAACTGCGAACGTCTGTGTTTAATAATAATAATAAAAAAAAAAGAAAGAGATACACGAGATACTTTACAAGAATAAATTGTTTCTTAACTTCTCCGTCCTTCCTTCTTAATACGAAGGAAGCCATTTGCGAAAGTTTCCGCGAATTCGTTTCACGTCGCGACGAAAGTATACGTATGATACTCGACGATGGCTGTTTGACTTTATTAAACGTCATTTGCGCACGACTTACAACCTCCTGCAGAGATTGGTTCCGTAACCTTAGTTCAATCAATGTGTAATTTACGGTGGGAAAAGGGAAGGGGGGAAGTGGTTGGGCGCGACTAATTTGCAATGCATTACCAGTCAGGATCTAGACGATGGACGAGGAACAAAAGATTAATAGTTGCTGAGAAAGTCTCGGCGGAGCAACGATTATTCTGCGAAAACGCTCGTTTGTTAACGCTCCGATGGAGCTTTTATGCGCTGTCAAATCGATCGCTGCGAAGCTACCGGAGGCTCCTGAGGTTTCGTATTCCAGGCCACGATTGCTCGGCGTGTAATCGTCGAATTGTGTAAACGTAAGATCGAATTTGGCAAAACGGTCCCGAGGAGATTGTCTTTGGGAATTTAAAGCGTGGAAAGTCGAGGCAGAAGCGATTCGCTCGCCCGAAAGGGGCTGAGATAGTCCTCAGACACAGGACTGAAATCCCGGCTGTAATTCAGCGTGCGACGCGAGGAAAATACGCATTAACTTGATTAGGAACGTTCGGTTTTCGATTCCGTCCTCGTAATCTCCTGCTGCTTTGTTCCAACGGATGCGACCGGCTGAATCGAACCCAAAGCTCGTCCCATTTGACAGTTCCATTTGAGATCAGGCAAAATGTGTCGTTCGACGTACATTCGGGATACGTTTGCCATTGGACGGAACAGGGGAAAAATATCGGAGATCGAAAGGGAATTTAATTAAAAGCAATTCACGTAAAATAAAGAACACACAAATATTTTTTTCGCAACTTTCACAGGTCAACGTGACAACTGGAAATTTTGTAACGCACTGTTCGTTCGATCGTTAAAATGTAATAATTAGACCGCGGACTTTTATGAATTCACGAGAAACTTTAAAATGCAAAATTTCAGAGAATGCGTATAAAATATGCAAAAACACGGGTGCTTTCGATAATATTGCAATTAAATTTCAATTAACATTCTCAAACGTAGAATTTACATAAAAATTCGCGATCTGCTAGCAATTAAATTGCAAAGTCGCGACTCTTGAATTTTTATTATCTCGTCGAATAAATCCGACACGCTTCCCAGATATTTGATCTCTTTCGATCTTCAAATCTTTCCCCCGAATGCGCCATACAAAAATCTACCTGATTAACAAAACGCTGATTGTCTCCTGATCTCCGGCTCGATGCAAGAACCACGATTTCCACGTTCCATCCATTACGAAAAGTCTCTCAAGTCTCGGCCACAAATTACCCAAAAGAACATCC